TACTAAGGGTTCATATGTTTGGGGTGTGTTTTAAACCTTTCCCTGAACTAGTGTAGGTGGTGAAGGGCTCGTGGTCTTGAGTAGCGGCCTTCTTTCAACTCAGCAAGGCCTCTTGGCCTACCCATTTTAGGGCAGCCATGAGCGCATAATGGTTGAGTGCACTGACTGAGAGCGTGCGAGCGTGGGTATGCAATACAATTTTCCTAAGTTCGGGTAGAAAAAATTGTAATTCAAATCATTCAAGTGTCGGTCCACAGAAACATTGAAGTCAGGGCACTTGATCCGGCCAATTAGATCTTCGTCAAGATATAGTGAATAGCTTCTGCAATTCCCATGAAGAGGGGCCCAATCAAGCAATCTAAGTTTGCAAAAACAGGTGCACATCCTAAACAGATCTTGTTTCTTTTCTCGGCGCTAGGGAAAAACGAAAGCAACTGCCAGTTAAGTTCTCTGAGGGGCAAGTGTTCCAGCATATGTTGTTTCGGGACTAGCTGCCACAGAAGCCGCTCTTGTTGTAGCGCTCTATCTGCCAAGTCTTAGCTGCGCAATGATAGCGTGTCCAATGGAAATCTTTGTGGCGTTAGAAAAACGCACCAAATAGGACAATAGGGACTAAGATTGGCTTGCTAGGCTGCTAGGCTACAGTTGTAGGCCTGTCGGAAGGCAAGGTATGAATCACGCAGGCTCCGGATGGCTGCTGGGCTAAGGCATTTCCCATGTTCGGCTAGGGTGGCATATATGTTTGTAAGGCCCAAAAAACGCATTTGCTCTGTACCTGAGTGCAGTATGCCAAATACATACACAATTCAAAACAGGTTGACACAGCTATCAACCGTCTATCGCGTTGGTCAAACAGGACTTGCTTTCCCTTCTTGCGTGTAAAGCACACATTGTGGTTTGTGGGCTCCACCTGCGCGCACTGAAACACCAAGTCAGCCACCCAGAAGACCATGAGCCGCGCTGCAGCAGCTTTGAGTATTTTTTGGGATGCACGGGCATACCCCGTAGAGCTGGGAGAAATTGTCGCCAGTTGAAACAGTTTCCTCGATGCCCGTGAGGCATGAGGAACTCCTAAACTGCAGGGTTTCAGAACAAACGCCCGACGCATCTTTTCAAGGGCTCACACATGTTCAACAGATGGAAAAAACCTAAGTATTGCCCAGCTTCGGTTGTCAGCGCACCATTTCACATATTCCTCATAAAGATGCAACAGGTAGGCTTCTTTGTTCCTTCTCCGCTCACAGAATTCGAAGAGGGCGCTGAGAATACTGTCGGGCACTATTTGCAGATCCAGTATATGCATTAAATCGGGATAAATACCTGCGTGGTTCGCCAAATAGAGCAACAAGATAGCACCAAACATCACGCGATTACAAATTGGAGTTCTTTCAAAACAAGGCACGCATTGGTGTGAAACCCGGCACTTCAGTCAGCACGGTGCTTCCATGGATTGATATACATTGTTGTTTGGTAGTGATTAGCCTGAGAGTCATCCCACACCAAAGCGTCCAAACAAGTCTATGTTTTGTTCAGAACAAACTTCGTGAGCAGCATGTTGCCATGGAAGAAGCGTGGATCTGTGCGCGGCCGAATCTCCGTATGCAGTGTAAAGCATAGACTCGGGCTCTCCATGTTCCAATGAACGAACTGCACTGCAATAGTGGCAACAGTGTCTTCGAAATGAGTGCCAGCTACCTTGTGGAAAATGACTAGCTTTCCAGAACAAAACAACGTACTGTACAACACAGAAAACATATTGCGTAACCCCTCAAATCAATCTAGGTTCGTTTGAATTGGAAGATCTTGTGGAGGAAGTCCTGGTCCGCTTGCACCCCGTCAAAGAAACCACGCCATCCCCCCGCTAGGGGGGAGCCAGATTTTCTGGCCCAATCCGGGGCATACTCATGATCCTCACACTAGGCTAGCTGGGCGGTCAGGTCAGACGTTTTATACAAACAGCGATCAAACAGATGTTGCGCCAAGATTCAAATCTTTTTCCAAAGGGATCACTGTGGGGCCACACACCACAACCTGAAAGGGAGAAGATTCCTACATTGACGGGATATATTTTAGTGTGACATATCACGAGCTAGGCAACTCATTGCCCGAAACGACCACGCTATCCAAGCAAGCAGGGTCTCTCTGCACGCATCCCCTGTGGTGGAAGTGGAGCGAACGTTGATCCTAGGATGGCTGCATCCACTCTACACTGCTGCTTGGACATCTTGCACTTGGACTATGCTTTTGGTGCAGCTTGGTGGCACAAATCTGGAATCGATAGATCCCCGGCCAGACCCACAAACTGCGACCAAGCTGAGCATCTCGGTTGAAGTGGTACCTCATGGCTTCTTCAGGTTCACTGAGAGGGAAACTTTTTGGGACAGTAGGCCAGAACCCTTTTTTGAATCACCGGCCAAGCTACTCCATGCTTCAGCTCCATCGCCGTACAAGCGGAAGGGCACAGCGCGCGGCGGGACCTGCGCGTAGAAGGGGTAGCAGTGTAAGTTTTGCCAGCTAAGCCTCAACCCCTGGCCTCACCCCAAATTTCATGGGCAAGTTGACGGTTGATCGGCAGTGACCAATACTCTTCATAGGCCTCGATTCCAAAGGTCTGGGTGTCTCGAAAAAATCTAAGCTGAATCTACCATCATTTGCAAAGAGGTATAGGCAAGGAGCTAGGGGCGTACAGGTCATGAGGTGGTAAAACAGCTCGCCATTCCCAAAGTTATAGAAGGTGGCCATGATCTCATGGGGCAAAAAAAATTCCCAGCTTGACATGGGTGTCGCCTCCAGGCGCGCATTTCACCTCAATATCCACTCCGCACAAACTTGACACCCATCAATCAACCCCCAATTGAAGCCAAGCAACTCTTGGCACTTGCAACCTCCAGTTGGTCGCAAGCAACTTTAATTACTAACAATGAGAGCTCTGAGCACCCGGCTCGAAAGGGATTGGCGAGCAATGCCGGAAGTCTTGAGCATGAGCCCATGATTGGAACGTTCTTTCTGGCGCCCACCCCTGGGCACTGGCAACGCGCTCTGCAAGGTCCAAGATCTTGCTCCTCAACGCGGCCGACGCTGGATTGCGAACGCGTTGGACAGGTTGACGGCCGTGTCTTGACTGCAGGCATGTTTCGGGACCAGGTATTCTGGTACATGTAACAGGTCTTGCAGGCAGGCTCCCAAGCTTTTCATGCTTGCCTGCATGACAACTCTTTTCCAATGTGTAGAAAAAATCACTCCACTTGAGCCAGCCTCCCCATTCATCACCATGTGCAAGAGCTGTTGGACTAGTCTGTGAAGACCCCGTGGTGGATCTGCAACGCGGCCTGTAGCGTGCTAGGCGCCTATACATCTTTGACTGCATCGATTGGAACTCTAGCGCTGTGGCGGCTTGCAACTTGCCAGTGTGAAATCGGGAACGAACAGATTTTCATCAGAACCCCGGGCGAAGTGCATTTAGCACTCAGACTTTTCGAAGTTTGACAAGCAGTGGGGTATGCGGTGCACAACGCTTTGAGTTCAGCCTTGTACCTAAGCACACGCTTCCACTGACTGCCCTGGGGGGCCCTGAGCACAGCCAAACTCATTCAGCCAGTTGCTCATGGACTATATTATATTGTATTATATATATATTATATTGATACTAGGCTACTGTATTTGCAAGGCCCCCAAAGGCATAAACCCCACAATCCCCATAGAGGTCTCAATCCGAGTCCTCAGCATCAGAAGAACCCTCGTCCTCATCCTCATCATCGGACGCCGTCTCGTCCACCTGACGCAAACAGGCAAATCGAGGACTCTACAAGGCCCATACTAACGTTGTTCACACAGAAGAAAGATAATCACTCTTAAAACTACACTACGCAATCCCAAAAAGAAATGGCCTTCGGAGCGCTTTTTGCTTTTGCCTTGGCCTTAGCCGACGCTGCTTTTGCTTTTGCTTTGGCTTTGGCTTTCTTTTTTGCCTCCGCCTTCCTCTTTTCACCTGATAGCGCGCATAGTGATGGTTGGTGCGCCCCACCACACTAACTGAAGTTTTCACGGGACTTAAAGCTTCGGAAGGCCGATTTGGCAGTGTCAATGGTGTCCTCCATAGCCTGCCGACAAAGTATTCAAGTCAAAGGTCAATATGGTCTAGCCTCAAAATAATCAGGGTTGTGAAATACGAAGCGTTGTTTGCAACCACCGGCTTGCGATCATAGGCCTCCAGCTGCTTGGAATGCTTCTTGTATTCTTTTCGAACGTCATCCACAGTAGATCCCTTCACACACATAGTCTCCAGCCTGTAGGTGTGGAAACTCCCGCGTTAGAAGTTTGACTGCGCTGAGACATGACTAAGGTTGCGGCTGGCTTGCCAAATTTGTCACCCAATCAAACTTCTTTTGACACTCTTGCTTCAACTCCTGACAAAGCGCCCAGGTTTTTTCCAAATAACCACTATAAATATGCTGCGGGCGCCTTGTTTCCTGAGAGTTCATGCAAATCTGCGCCGGCATTTCGGGCCCTTGAGGCCAGATTGTGAAGCCTGAGCTGGAAGCAAAGCCACACGACGAGGTTGCCCGCGAACCTAGACAGCAATTGAGAGGCGTACCCTTTGAGATCCTTGTCCAAGTCTTTTTTTGGCTTGCTGCTCTGGGGTGACCTCCTGAAATGGAAGACTCCAAACAAAACACATTCTTTTGGGAAGACATGAGGCCATGGCCTTCTTGTCGGTGCCGTTGGCTTCTGGCTTTCTCCGCCGCTTGTTTTCACCATCATCATCACTATCATGTCTGGGTCCCCCCCTTTCTTTTGCTATGAGTGATTGGGGCCAAGGCATCGACCATACTGGCGACAGTCTTTGCAGCCCCTTCTAGACCATCAGGGCCCACATCATCAGCAGTAGGCATCACACCAGAGCTCTTCACTTTGGTTTTGGCTTCGTTTTCTGTCGCACCTAGGTTCATGAGCACATGTCCAAAAAAGGATTGGGGGTAATGCGCTTGGACCAAAGGCACTCTCATGCTTGGTGTGCTTGTAGATCTTGTAAATGCGCATGCTGTCCACGTTCCGAAACTCGGCGCCCAGCAAGAAAAAAGGTTTTGCACTAGGCACTAAGATGGGGTAAGCAGCTAACCAAATCAGAATAAGCCCAGAACTTCTTTGGAAGGGTGCGGCCTCCCGCGCTGGGTGTCCTTGATCGTCTTGATCATCTCCCTGAACAAAGCATGTGGTCTAGTCAATAGTGGAAACATTGGTGATTTGTTTGTTGCTGACACCACCCCGCCCCACAGAAAAAAGAAAAGATACTCACTGAGGGAAGGGCCGCCCTGCAGCGGTCTTGCCATACTTGAGCTCGATATCAACGAGAGGCATTTCGATAAAAACCCCGGTGTCAGAGGTCCGTGTCTTCCTGCCATCAAAGTTTTTGAGAGGGGATCCAACGTGGTAAACTCAGAATGAATTTAAAGGAGCCAAGACGCTGCTGCACCGAAGCCTCCAACTCCACGCCCTTCCTCCAAGGCAATCAGATTTGGAAACTCCTACCTTCGTTGGACGTGGCTCGGTTTGAACATGCAAACAGGGCACAGCTCGTCCGACAGCAAGAACTCCTTGAGAAGTTCAAACCTCAATGTGGTCAGCGGCGGGTGTGATTGTGTAAACATAACGTGGCAGCTACAGACGCAGTCAAGCCACTTCTTTGAATGCGATCCTGCGGCCTCTGCATACTTCTGAACTAGTTCCACTGGAAGGCCTCAACACGAACACATTTTGCAGGGTTTGGAGACGCATGGAAAAATCAAGGCCTTTTCGTTGGAATTTTCGATCCATGGCCGAATACAGGATACGTCGGTCCTGCAGGAGAGAATTGGTTGCTTTCATTTTCTGGGTTTTGGGGAAAATAATCAGAGTTCATATACTACCCACTCAGAAGAAAAGATGTTTCCTGCACATCGATCTGGCTGGCCGAAGTCAAACCCTTCACCTGTTCTTTCAAGTCTTCTGGTAAGACTTTCACCTGAGCTAAACAGGATCCCAGCGGAGCCCCCCGAAAAGAATCCAAGGATTTGGACTTAACCTCGGGAGCTGGCTCGGCGCAGCTGTCCTTTCTCATCGCGGACAGTGAGCCCCTTGATCTGCACAACGCCAGTTCCATCACTCTCCTGGGGAAGACAGATTCAATTTGGACAGCTTCAATCTGAACACCTGAAAATTGTGAGACACACTTAGAGGACACAAAAGGGTCCGCACTATGTGGTAGTGTGTTTGCATGCCTAGTGCTGCCACGGCGCATAGTGCATTGTGGCTGACGTATTGGTTCTGCTCAGCTGGCCTCCCACACTCTAGGCAAACAAAAACACAACTGGTATGGTTGATCATTTTACAAAGCCTGCCTTTTGGATCCTTTGACTTTTTCCTCTCCACCTCCCATTTGGCACGCTTCACCACTGCACAGTAGTCATGCAGTCTTGTTTGGACAAAAACCTTCCTTGTTGGACGCTTCTTTGGTGGTGTATAACCGTGCCACTTGTAAAACCGACAAACCTTGAGATGTCTAAGCTTCAGCTGTTTTGGTTTTGGACGACCTGCCTTCACGTCTCCATCTTTCTTCTCCTTGTCATTCTTTTTGCTCTTTTTTGGCACTTCTTCCTCCTCCTCCTCCTCTTCATCTTCCTCATTTT